AGACAATTCAGTCAGTGGCACTGCCCCAGGGGTTTGTCCATGTTCTGTGCCCTCGTACATGATATTAAAAGGTCTTGGGTGGTCATTATAAGGTAAACTAAATGTAGACTACTTTCGACATACCAAACGTCATGATCCTGTCATAAAACATACGTAAGGCACTGTGGTGAAATCAGGCGCTCGCAAAGTATTGAAATCAAAGAAATCGGCTTTTTTGGCCAATGAGAATTTTTTTTCCAGTTTTCTCTATTTGGGTTCAGCACATTTTATTTCCTTTAAAAACGTTTTTGAGTGGATTTTTATTGAAAAACATAGATTAAAGGCACAAAAAATGTAAATTTTCAGTTTCCAAGGATTCTCAGGCTATGGAGGTAACCAAACTTTGGCGGCCATTTTCTCGCTAATTTTACCTCTGAAACCAGGCGACCCTGACCTCCTTCAATTGCAAATACTTCTACTTCTATTCAACATAGATGGATTTTTTTTACCTAAAGGAAGGCAAATGAATAGGTTTTAAGTTGATACCAATAACCCCATATGCCCTAAAATTGACGAGCGCCTAATGCCACCACGTCGTGACACATAATCTGGAGGCAAAGATAAACGACGATTTACAGTTTCCAAAGACATTCAAGCTTTAGACTTCACCAAACCTTGACGGTCATTTTCCCGCTAATCTTACCTCTGATACCAGGTGACAACACCTGCTTCAATCACGAATATATCGACTTCTATTCAAGATCGATGAATACATTTGTATCAAAAGCAAGATATGTGAACGAGCTTTTAGCTTTAGTTAGTGTTTTACGGCACTAGCAACACAATGAGGTCATATAAGAGCCGAAGATTAGGTGTTAAAAGGGAATAATAAACATGAAAAAGAAGGAGGGGAGATAAAGGCAATAGATTTTTTATAGGAAAGAAGAAGCAAACCACACTAGAGCACCCGCCCAGCATCCACAACGATCTTTTATATGATGCCAATAACTTCATGACAAAAATTGACGACCACCTGGTTCCACCGTGTCATGGCACAATAATATGTAAGGCGTGCTGACAAAATGAGTTACTTCCAGCAATCAACAAATGGAGATATTGGCCAAAAATCGACATAAAAGTCAACTTTGTAGATTTTCTATTAATACCATATTATATTCTTTAACTATAACCTATCTTTTATTATTTCATACTCATAGATTGTGATGTATCTATTTCCTTCAGGCTTGAACCCGAGAAGTAACTCCTTTTGTCAGCACGCTTTACATAATAATAATATTATATTTCTCACCCGACTCACCATAAAATGGGCTGGTCTCGGGTAATATTGAGTGCACACTGCCAATTAAATTCATTGTATTAAGTCGGGGCCAGCTAGATTTTTCCGTCGTCGATTGGGCAACATCTACCATTTTGGCACAATTCAACAAAATTCGATTAGATTCAATTGTGACTTTCAAAATCAAACTGATTTAGGTTTTTTCAAGGCCACCAGTGGAATTAGTCGCATTGTGCCAAAATGGCTCTTCAAATATTCTGCTCCTCAATTTGGGGAAATATCTGTCTGACTCAATTTGATTCAACCTGATTGGCAATGTGCACTGAGCACTATGTACTGTGCTTTACGTTTTATGGAATCATCTCTCGGACTAATTATTATTGCTCAGCACCGCAAACCGGTTTGGCTACAGTGAGGGCTACAGAAGAAGAAGAAGAAGAAGAAGAAGAAGAAGAAGAAGAAGAAGAAGAAGAAGGAGAAGAAGAAGAAACAAGTTCCATCACGTATCAAACCCACAAAGATGGCCAAAAGGCAATCTGCCAATTGCGAACTGACTAAAAAAATCAGAACCTTGGAAATGTTTTTGACGTGACAAATTGACGCTCATGATATGAATCAATATTCATTTCAATTGCACAAGGTCAGAAGCATATTATAAAAACTTGCCGATGATTTGTTTATGACGAGTGATATATTAAAAAACCGCTGCTCTAATGTTAGGATCTGAAACAGGTTTTTGATGTTCTAAATATAAGGGCATTTTTAACCCACATTGTCCCCGGCTCGCCTTTTAAAAGGATAATCTAGAATCTATTTGTAATTCTTTTTAACGAAAACGTTTCGAGATTAAAAGTTAAGTGTCTCAACTTTCACTTGAAACGCGCGCACACACGCACACACACACACACACACACACACACACACACACAC